TATTGTTAAATACATCCAAATCTCTAGCAATAGTCATATTGAACAAAATTATTATTATTTTCTTTTAAATTTGAATCGTTTAATAAACTTATATCGCTTTTTTACAACATTAGTTTTTAAACGAAAAAGATGTACGTTATTTAATTAAAATTACGACATTAGTTTTATATTTACGAGAAAATTCGGAGTTTTAGGATACGACATCTCTAGCTATAGGATACAACATATTAGCGATGTTATAGTGATATTTCGTTTCGTTTTATTACTTTAACAAGTCTTTTAGTGTGTATACGACTAACGGCCGGTTTCTTAATTGACAAAAACACAAAATCTCAACTGATTATTCTCAATAACTTAAGTTTTTTTAGGTTTCATATGGCAAAAGTCCCAATTTTATCAAATTCCTATCAACTGATCATTAAAAAATTATAAATCAGTAATGAAAACTTGTGTCAGTAATGAAAAACTAGTGAAGTTACTTTTCGCGCCGACACAGTTCAGAACCGTAAATAATCGAATCGAATCTTATATACGAGATCGTAGTCAGGCCGTGGTAATCAAGGGTTTTTGTTCTTCTTTTATTCCAGTGACATCTGGAGTCCCTCAGGGCTCTCATCTTGGACCTTTATTATTTAATTTATATATTAATGACATTAATTGCGTATTTCAACATTAAAAATTTATACTTTATGCAAATGACATGAAAATTTATAAAATTATTGAAAATGATTCTGACTGTTTATTACTTCAAAATGACTTAGATAATTTAGTTACATATTGCGAAAATAACTGTTTGCATTTAAATATAGAAAAGTGGTGTGTTATAAGCTTCACGAGAAAGATAAAGACAAATGTTTTATATGATTATAATTTAATTAATCGGACCTTGAATCGCGTCATCGAGGTGAGGGATTTAGGTGTTATGCTTGATACCAAATTGTCGTTTAAAAACCATATTAATGCTATAATCTCAAGGGCATTTCGGATGTTGGGATTTATTATCAGGATTGGCAGAGACTTCAAACATTGTTCTACTTTAACTCTTTTGTTTAACTGCTTTGTTAGATCGATTTTGAAGTATGCCTCAGTCATCTGGAATCTTTATTATAATTTATACATAAACAGCATCGAAAGAATATATTAAAAATTTGTAAAGCATATATCATTTAGATGTTCGCATTGCAAAGATAATAGTGATGAACTTATCAAAAAGTCCCTATGCAAGCGCCGCTGTGAGAGGGATCAGATTTTTCTGTATAAGATCTTAAACAATCTGATCGACTCGTCCTCACTTATCAGTAATATTTACATAAAATGTCCCCGGATAAGCTCTAGAAGTAAATCTTTATTCAGTGTTCCTCTTGTTAAAACGAATTCCACTGCTAACACATTTTTATATAGAACTTGTAGTATTTATAATGACAAATTTAAGTCGATTGACATTTTTAATAACAGTATTTATGTTTATAGGAAAAAGTTGAGAGAAATACTCAATGATTAATTTATGAATCTTATATCTCAAAGGGCCTATGTTTAGCAGTGGACGTCTTCCGGCTGATGATTTTTTTTTTGTTGTTTTAATTATTTTTAACTATTAACATATTTCATGCTCTTATGAATTAATTTATGGTGGAAACTGAATTGATTTGTGAAATTGTTTATATTATTTTATTTGACTGTGTAAAAATATTGTTTGTTTCCCAAATACTAATAAAATAAAATAAAAAAAAAATAAGTACAAGTGTATATGTATAAGTACGGTCACGCAATCAATCGTCATTTGTAAACATAAAAAAACAACAATTGAAGTGAAAAATAGAGTGTAACACAAAATACTAAAACCCAATTATAACACGAAACTACCTTAGATACATTGGGTTACTTAGATACACCTCTTGTATTCCATTTTTTACTTATAAGTCCACTTTCAATTACTATGTAGCCTGCAAAAAATCGGACATGGCCAAAAATCTATGAAAATGATTTATAATTAAATGATTCAGTACATATCTAAAATTCAGCAATAGTATAAAAGGCAACATTACGTGCGTCGAGTCATGCGATGAAATAAAGCAGCGTGAATTTATTGTTTTAATCCTTTTTGAAAACTTTTTTATATGCTCGTTTTATTTGTCTCGACTTTGGACCGAAATAATATAATATCAAATCAAATCAAAGTCGTTTATTCAGTCTAGGCTGTTAGACAGCACTTGTGAAAGTCGAAAACTACGCCAATGTTTCGTAAAACTACAGCGGGAGACCTTGTACTGAGAAGAACCAGCAAGAAACTCAGCAATGGCTGCCTTTTTCTCCCTGTTTTATTTCACACAGAGAAGTCTTATTGGAAAGTTATTTCATTAGACTATGAGGTCACTTTCTATTACAATGTCAGAAATAACAAGACGGATATTTTTGATTACTGATTAATATGCCGGTTGCCGAGTCATAAATAATCATTGAAAAATAATATAGAGTATTCATAACAAAAGAAAATGGACGAAATTAAGTAGTCCAGAGTAGACTTCACCCCACTGATAGCATGGTTATTAACTCTGGTGGGTTCGGTGGTAGAATTGGATGGATGCCATGGAAACTTTGAACTCGTTTGATTGTCTATACAAAATCTTTTGTTCAATCAAGCTTTTAGGGTCTAATCAAGCTTTTGTGAAATAAATATACACAAAAGTTTGTTAAAAAATATAAACATTATTATTTCATTTTTTTATTTAATTAATTAGAAAAAATATTTTTTCAGATGAGACAAAACAAATATTATATTGGATTAAATGGAAAGTTTTTTATAACTTGGATTCTTTACATGGTAATCATTAAATATTTTTCTAATAAAACCTGTCGTCTTGACTTTCTCAAACAAAGTATTTCACAGAATCCGTTATTAAAAGATATGTATGTATTAGTTATTATGTTATTTTTTTTTAATTTCAAGTGAAAATTTTATTAAATTAATTAAATCAAAATACCAAACTCACCCGCAAAAGTTACCAAATACTGTACTCTCCTGTTTCCCTTTGACATTGTTATACACAATTTTGTTACTATAGGTTTATTACACTACTACAACTAGAATTTTATTTCATAAATAATATTTAAACACGCCGTTTATATAATCGAATGTAAATTCATTTGTGATAATATATATCTATGTCTTGAATAGATGTGATCTACCACTATATATTTGATCAACATTTCATTTTTCACGTTATCATACCTCCCCAGCATATCACCGTGACAAATCTAAAATATTAAAAATTAAATGCATATTTTATCGACTTTAAATCAAATCGATAACATTCATTCTCTGCTTCTGTAAGCACTTGAGAAGTTTGAAAAACTACGCCAAAACTTCGTATGTTAATCGATTTTCACTTTTCTCTTGGTTTCTTATCTTTTTTATTTTTAAATAGTATTTTTTTAATTTTATGGTAAAATTAGGATTGACATCTCAATGAGGAAGTATTTTAAGAAAAAAAGAAAGCACTAAAAAGCACCTCACTAGATGGCGACTCTAGAAAAAGTTGATTTTCGCAGGAAACGAGTTGATCAAAAATAGTCATTTCCGTTCCTTTTTACAAACATATAAAAAAACTGAAATTTGGAAATTTCGAACCTTATATATCAATACAAATAAGAAAAAGTACAAATAGAATATTAGTTGTTTATTGAGTTATGAAATTTAATTTACTTTTATGAAAGAAAACCGGAAGGATTGTCATGTAGAAATTCAGAAAGTACCGTGGCAACACCAGGTTTGATTTCGGGTACTAATTTTAACAGCTATCGCCGCATTCTACCAAGTTAGGAAAAAAGCTAATCTATTCATTCCACCAATTAACAATCTCCTGCTGGGGACTTTTCGCATCATCAGCGCCTAATTGAATCAAAAGATTTCTTTTTATAACAGAACGAAGATTACTCGTATCAGATATTACTTAAATATTTTGATGATATGTTTATATCAGCAAAAAAACAAAAGATTACGTATTTTGCATTGTTTCAAAATTTGAAAGAAAGATTTTCTATGTTCAACGGGTTTGTATATTTTTTATGTAATTAAATATGTTCATCGATTTCTCCTTGCTAGCTCCTTGAAACTAGCTGTTGCCCCGCGACTTCGCCTGCGTAAAATAGGGACGACGACTAATTTTTGTTTTTCTGCCCGTCAAGTGAATTATTGAAGAATATGAAATACGTATTTTTTTATTTTTCGCGTATTCAATAAATTAGGGCGATATATTGAGTTGAAATGTCGCATGTCGTCACGCTATGGTATATTTTCTACAAAACTGTGACATAGCGAGCCCCCACTCCTCAACTTTAATTCCTAATAACTTACCATTTCTTGTTCAAATTGAAGAAAAAAAAATACGTATCTAATATTTTTCTGTTATCTAACTGACGGACTAAATAGAATTTATTTTTCTTTACCTAGTCGTCATCCCTATTATAGCCTATGTCCCCCTCTTATTAAGTAGCTTCCCGTAGAAAGCATGTTATAATCAGTCCAATAGTATTGGAGCCTTTTCACTGCAAACAAACAAGCGATCAAGTCTTTCCTTTTTATAATATGAGTACCTATACGTTATTGGAAAAAACAAATCAAGCCAATAAACAAAATCTCCATTCTTAAGACTTAATCTCCTACTAAATTAAGATAAGACTTTCACTAAGTTAAGATATTTTTTATATAGATAAGTATTTAAATTTTTAGATTTTTCTACTTATTATAATTAAAAAATGTGAATATCACTAAAAAGCATGAAATAATAACTTTTAATTATATCTGATTTATTTTGCATTCACAATGCTATACTGAAAAACGTTCTTAATGAAAAATACATTAAAAAATCCACTATGTCCCTGGCACTCGGTAATGGGACTCGAACCCACGACCTTTCGTGATCGGGGTGACTGTCAACAAACAATATCAGCACCAATAGAATAGAGAATTGTTTTGATATATTAAGAATAAAATAAAAAAAGAAACAATAATGATATTTATTTGTACTTTTTTCGCTTAAACTAAACAAATTATTCATACAATCAGACTAGATGTTTTATATTGATTTTAATTAACCTACATTCCACCTTCAAATGTCACTGAGTATTCGAAATGAACTTAAGTAGTCATAGTAAACCTTCATGCTTACGCCTAAAATAAGAGTTTAGCATTCTTTGTCTTCTTTACTCTTTAGTTCCATTACTTCGTTCATCTCGTTCTCACCTATAGTGACTTTATTTAAATTCTCAGCTGCTTCATCATAGGTTGTACCTTGTAACGACACTAATATTTCCCTAAGACTTTTACCTTTAGTCTCTGGAACTAAACAGAAGGAAAATATAGTACCAGCAAAACTGATTGCGGAGAACATCGTGAAAACTCCGAAGAGTCCAAACAAACCGATCAATTGCTGGTACAGTTTAATTATAGCAAAATTTGAAAATCCACCGAAGACATTCAGAGCAGTCATAGCAACTGATTTAACGTTCATTGGAAACATTTCAGCTGGTATCACGTATATTAGAGAATTAAATCCAATTGTGGATAGGATAACAGATAAAACTATTCCGCCAAATGCGATAACACCGTATGGAGTAATTATTGCTTCGTCAATCTTCAAGACTTCGAGGGTGAAGAAGTAAGCTCCAGATATGGCTAGAGAGATGCATGTTCCCAGATATGATATGATGAGAAGCGGCCGGCGACCCGCTCGGTCGGCCAATAAAGATGATACGATACCTGAAAAAAGTATTTATATGTAAAAAAAATAATTTAATACATTCAATTAAGTTTTAAAAGGTAAATGTTTAAGATTTGTAAATTTTATAAATGCAACAAAATACACAAATCATATGTGCTTACACTTTGAAAAGTTTTTTGTTTTTAATGACCTTTTGTATCATCGCATTTTGCAACAAGTGATAATCGAGTATTGTTTTAGATATCTTGATTATAATCGCAATATATCAGCTAATTACAATATCAAAACCATCTTCATTGATTAATGAATTTGTTTTCAATATTAATAACAACTGAATGGGTCCTATAAATATAAGTAAATATCTTTGGCATGATCACTATAATATTTTCCGTTTAATTCAATCAGGATATCTAAATTAGTATGCTTTGCCAATGCCAATTAACTGACGATTTTTGTGATAAACCGTGTCTCTAAAGCGGCAAAAATGAAATTGCCACTACATTTCGAAATATGACGAAACTTACCAGATATAAATCGCACTCCGCCGAAAATAATGAACGCTACGGATAGTTTCATGTTAATTTTACTGTCCTTCAGAATGAGGCCGAGGTAGTGCTGTATCAGGATAGAACCTGACAACATCTGTGTTACTTTAAGACCTAAAAATTCATACATATATTAAATGAGAAGTATGTAGTATAAACTTAATTACTCTAAGAACAAATATCAGCATATATTTGTTTGGTGTATTGTTTAGTTTTAAACAAAGAACACACCTTTTCCCTATGTTCTGTGGTTTTTACCAATTCATCATCATCACCAACCTTTTTATGTGCCACTGCTGGCCTTCCCTATAGATGCTTAAACACTTGCTTAACTAAACTGTTTCACTTAGCTTAACTTGCCTTCCGAAGCACGGAGGAGTTATAGAAAGTAAATTTTTGGTCACCCATCCTATGGTTAGCCATTGTGAAAGTTGCTCAACAACAGTACCACAGACCGAGCGCACTAACCATTGCGCCATCGCGATGCTCTCTAGTTCAATATTTACAATATAATAAGTAAAACCGACATTACAATTACTTTATTAGTACATACCTACACATATCACAACTGCTTTTCGATACTGCCTTCCAGTTAATAACTCCTTGAGAGATCCCGAGCGCAATGTTTCTTTTTTGACGTCTTTCTGCATAGATTCTAATTCTTCTTCTAATTCCTAAAAATATTAATAAGGAAGGTTCATGAAGAGAAATGAATGAAAATCGAATAGGATGAGCCTACCGCAGGGTCCCAGTGCGGATTGGCGGGTGTTAACTTTTTTATTTTTTTTCCATAAGCCCCGAAATTTCGATAATTTTCTACTTACTGTAAACGGTCTTATTAATCATTGTAAAATCTAGTAATTAAGTTTTATTACTTAAAGAATAACACTTGAAAAAATTTTTAATTAACGCGTTCAGTATTTTAACATTTCGGGAATTGTTTCATAAAAAATACAAGAACTTGAAATTCATGTTCCGAGAAATAGAGTAGGCACTCATTTTTTAATAATTTATTACAAGGTAATTTTACTTTAGTACACGGCTAATTAAAAATATAATTAGAGTTTATGTTATTTTATCTTCTATTTTATAAAATAAGAGTTCTATCATCACGTTCCACGTGAAATACAATTAGTCGAGTCTTTGTGAATGTGTTGAGCTGGTAAAGCTTTCATCAACTGTTTCACTATGAAGATAATTTAATGATCACATGAAATTAAATAGCATCAATCAATTAATCCGTCATTTACGAATTCTAGAATGAATAACAATCTTAATTGCAATCTTTTTAAATTAATAAAAATAAAACTTTGTGTTTCAAAAAAGTGTCGTCTTATACACTCCCGTTATGTGAAATAAACTATAATAAAAAGTCTTTTACAAGCTACTACAGTCATTCCACAATTATTATAAATTTAAATCTATACACCAGCCTAATTCGATGAAGAATAAATGTAAACAAAGTAAATTAGATAAAAAATATATATATAAAACTCATATTTCTCACTAGGATACTGCACATTACTTCGTAATTTAATAAGTAATATTTTTTACTGTTATAAATTACCAGAAACACTTATAAAACTTCAATATTTTAACAAAAAAATGGAAAATAGTAATAAATCTGTGAATCTGACACTATTTTTACTTGGCAGCCCTATAACATATAGAGTTCAGATAGTTTGTTTGCAATAAAGTTGTGTATTATTATAAAAAAATGTAATGATTCCCTAAGTAGTCCAGGTGGATTCAACGACGGTCTACGTTGGCGTGAAATAAAAATAGGGGTTTCACAAGTTATAAGTGGGGTCCATCAAAATTTATTATTAATATAATATTAAAATTATGTGGTTTCGATGGTAAGGAACAAAAATGTTGGCTTGGCTTTACCTATATATCAATGTGCAGGTAGACGATAATATTGTAAGAAGGTCATCATGTATTACTTGTATACGTACAATCACAACTCTTCTACAAGACTTTTGCAATAGTTACAACCCGAAAAGTCATATCGATGTTCCAACACGTAAACATGCCTGCATTGACCACATTTTGAGTTATGTTAGAAATGCAGATTCCATCGTGCTGCCGTTATTTCTATCTGATCATGATACAGCCCAAATGTTAAGTTTCCCTGTGCGTCAGAAATACTTTAGACCAGAATCCTACTTTACTTACAAAAAGGATTATTCTGTTGAAAATATTAATAAATTTAGAGAATGCTTAAGAAGTTAGTCATGGGCAATGATATATACAGAGACTGACGTTAGAAAAAGCTTTTAATGACTTCTTGGAACTATTTTCCATGTTTTACAACCTTTGCTTTCCAAAAATAAAAATTAAGTTACACAGTGACAATAAAAATAATTACAAATGGATGAGTAAAGGCTTAAAAAAAAGTTGTGTCACTTACACAAATCTCCGTTTTCATTATTATGCTAATAAATCAAAATTAAGCAGAAACAAGTATTTGACGTACTCTAAGCTACTAATGGTAGCTCGGTGGCGTAGTGGATAAGCGCCGTGGCCCGCGATCGTAGTCGTTAAGCAACTTTCGCAAGGGCCGGTCACGGGATGGGTGACCAAAAAATTATTATCTCGAACTACTCCGTGCTTCGGAAGGCACGTTAAGCTGTTGGTCCCGGCTGCATTTGCAGTCGTTAATACTCTCCAATCCGCATTGGGCCAGCGTGGAGGGTCATTGCCCATCCTCCTTAACCATCCATAAGGAAGGCCTGAGCCCCTGCAGTGGGGACGTAAAAGGGCTGGTGGTGGTGGTAAGCTACTAATGCATCTTCAAATCTAAGAAACAGTGTAACATATAATTTAATAATAGTTGCACTAATAAATGTAAAGCAGCTTGGACGGTTATAAAAAATTAAATTAATCATAAGCAATTCAATGACATCTCCTCAATAAATTCTAATGACATCGAAATTAAAAACCCCCTGTTCAGGCATTATTCAATAATTATTTCATTGACATATCAAATGGCCCTTCAAATAATAATATCGCTCACTGAATAGTACAGTGGCACAACTCAAAAACCATATTACGAGAACCGCTCTCCGAAGTTATGGAAATTTAATATATTTATAATTATGAAAATCAAATTTTTTAGCATAACAGTTAAATCGTTTGTATTATATTATTACTGTTAAGTTTTTTATTTTTTCTTAAAATTATCTATGGCATGCCACCACAATGTTTTTGAGTTGTGCCACTGTACTATTCAGTGAGCGATATAACCGACAGGACCATTAACAATAAGACGATACCAAATACGATATTTTTAAAACCAATGACATAATATGAGATGAAGAAGGAAATATTGACATTAAAGAATACAAACTCAGAAGGATATGATGGAGTTCTTGATGTTCTGTTCCAAGATGAACATCGTCCAGGACGTCCAAAAAGTGCCACTACTCCATAAATTGTGATCAAAATTCATGATGCAGTTTTAGCTGACCGAAGATTGAATCTTTCCGAGATAGATGATACTGTAGGCATCTCTAAAGAACGGGCACATTATATTTTGACTCAAGAATTATCTATGAAAATATTATCCGCAAGGTGGGTGCCGCAATTGCTTACAGTTGACCAAAAACGCGTTCGTATGCAAATTTCACAAGAATGTTTGGACCGGTTTAAGAGCAATACAACAGATTTTCTGCGACGGTTTGTTACTACGGACGAGACTTGGGTTCACCACTAGTGATGACCTGAATCAAAAATTCAGTCTAAACAATGGACGGAAAAAGGATCCCCGGCTCCAAAGAAAGCAAAGGCCGTGAAATCAGCGGGGAAAGTCATGGCGTCAGTGTTTTGGGGTTCGAAGGGTATATTGATGATTGATTACCTTCCAAAAGGACAAAACATAAATGGCGAATATTATGCTGATCTACTGGATAAATTACAAGTGTGTATTCGTGAAAAAAGACCCGGTCTGGTTAAAAAAAATAATCTTTCATCTAGGATAATGCGCGCGTTCACACGTGCATCACTGCTATGGCGAAATTCAAAGAATTAAATTATAATTTGCTACCATACCCAGCTTATTCTCCTGATCTGGCACCATCTGTCTATCATCTATTCCCTAAGCTCAAAATTTTTTAGGTTGAGATTGAGGAGATGATGTCTGGCGTGGACAGTTATTTTGAAGGGCTTGAAGAAAACCACTTCAGGGATGGCATCAAGGCTGTAGAGCATAGATGGATGAAATGCATAGCGCTTCAAGGAGACTATGTCGAAAAATAAATATACTTTCAACACACTAATTCAAGTTTTTCTATGCTAGGCTAGCTATTTATTATCCCGCCCTCGTAACAACTATCGTCCTATTACTATTATTACAATATTTTCGAAGATCTATGAAAAATGCATGCACAGAAGACTGGTAGACTTCTGTGATAAATTTGATATCATTAATAATGAACAATTTGGATTTCAAAGTAAGTCAACCACGTTGGCCTCTTTTACACGTTTGGATACAATATTGACGAACTTAAACAAAAATTGCCTTACGACAGGCTTATTATTTGATTTATCTAAGGCATTCGATTTTGTTTCCCATAAGTTATTGTTAGAAAACTAGACTCGATTGGTATAACAGGTGTGGCATGGATTGAGTCATACCTGACAAATTAAACAGTCAGTCACTATTGATAAGATAGTAAATAGTGAAATGATTTCATATTCATCAAATTATCGCGAAACTAAAAAAGGCTAAAATATAGACAGCGTTGAAACCCTGATCGATTTGTCTTAAATGTTATTCCAAAATCAGATAAGTATGGGAAAAGTTGTTTTGCTATGTGCGTCAAAGTGTATAATAAAATTCCAAATTAATTGAAATCATTAACGGCTGGATTTTTTTAACTACGACATGTAAAACCAATGAATTTCAACATAATAAGAATTTAATAATTTGATTATTATTATTGTGATTATTGTTTAGGTTATTTTTTATTCTCGCTATATAAGATTCCATTATCGCTGTATTATTCGCTGTATTATTTTCCATTTTAGTATGCTTTTTAAAAATGGCGAAACATATGGATATTGTACAACTTTACACCTTTATACCATGTTTTAAGCAAATAAATAATTTGGCTGCAGGCGGAAATACCCGAACAATATCCAGGGCTGTGGGAAATTTCGAGAAAAGTTTTGATAGCGTTTCCCTCGTCATACCTTGTCGAAAAAAGTATTAGTGTGGTTACAAACCTATTAACAGAAAAAGGAGCAGATTAAACATTACAGATTGGGGACATTTGCGGTTTCTTACAAAACTGAAGCCAAATATTGATAATTTGCTGTCTATCCATCAAGTACATCCCTCCCATTAAAATTATGGGTATTTTTTTATTATTGAAATTAAGTAACGTTATTAGTGTCTCATTTTAATTCTATTAAGTCTGTTATCATTATTTTTTCAATCAATAGATCGCAAGAAAATATACTATTTTTTGTTTATTTTTACCACACCGAATTTAAAGTTGGAACTCACCTGCGACGCCAATATTATATGATTTTTTTTTTATTATTCATATAATATTGTGTCTATAGCATTTATAGCATTATGATTTGATCGCATTATTTATAAAATAGCAAGTTTATGAAATATTAGTACATTTATAAATAAAACAAATGGTTTTTCACTGGTTTTTGTTTACACTTGACATGTTCCTTGTAATCATAAGACATTGCACGTTAAATTACAAAGATTAGGTAATTTTCAAAACACTACTACATCATTCTATCTAAATTGCTTAGAATATTTGATAAAGTAGTATCTCGAAGTCGAGAAAGAATATGTTGTCTAGTTTAGACAGGTTATTAATATCTGCCTGTCACCGGTTGCTAAGCAACGCTTTGTTTGTTAACATTCTTCATCGAATTTGGCTATAGTATAGGTACTGACATGACCTATGCTCTATTTCAAATTAAGATGTAAATTTATCTCGTTAATGTGTTATAAATCTTAACCAGGCCTGTGGTTAGAGCATTCTTCAAAAGGCATATTAGTCGTTCTATCGTTAACATCCATCGATCCGCACTGGCCCACTTGGTTGTTATTGTCCTATTCCTCCTGACGAAACTATCGACGACATTAATAACCTCATTATAATATTCCCATCAGAAATATACACACCTTCTGATCCCTAAAGTTTCTGAGCGTCATCAGAATCTTTTTCGCTTTTTCCACCTTTCCTTCCTTCAGAGTATAGTACGGCGTTTCTGGTATGAACCAACAAGCAATGAAGAACAGAACAGGTAACACCAGCAGCAAATAGTTCAAGGTGTCGTAACTCACGAATGGACCTATAGCCATCACAAGGAAGTTGCCGAAATTGAACATGTAGCGACTGCTAACTGTGAGGGAGCCCCTTATGTCCTTATCGGATATCTCGGCAAGGTAGATGGAAGATACCTGAAATTAAGACAAAATTTGTATTTTTAATAAGCTAAAGAAATCATTTTTAATGAGTACGCACGGTGAAAGCGTTCTAGCGACGTCGTCTAAGCTGTAACACTCGTACACAAAAGAACAGTGTCACTTTGTCATGCAAGTTAAGGCTACGGCTGTCTAATAAGTACTCTAACGGTGGGTTGTTCAATGAAATCCTTGTGCAATTCTTCTAACTCTCGATTTTATTTGCAAATAATATACATCAAAACAACTAAATTCTAAGATGCCTCTAAGCCGGTCTCGATTAGAAAAGAAAGATTATCAACCAGTAATAATTCAAAATATTAGCGACCAGCCTTAACCATAAATCTTCCGGAGAGTAAACCCACCTATAGTAATGTGTACGGACGTTACAGTACCCAGCTTAACTAAAGCAACGTAGTATAGTCCATGAGTGTACCTGTGCCCTAATGAGTGCTTTTTTTGTTCAACTGACTGACGTGCCATGCATTATAATAAAATTCCAACGGATACAGTGTGATTTCTTTTTTAATAATTCATACAGTACTCACCGTCACTACTATGCCAGTTCCTATACCCCACAAGAATCTGGTTATATATAAAAGCCATACACTTGATGAACTGACAACGAATATCTGAAAAAAATAACAATATTTATAATACAGTGATTCCAATTAAAAAAAGGTGCTACATAATACGAAATATAAAACCGCATTGCAGACCAATTTCGCATTATTATATAATAATTGCGTCTTATTAGAATCTCAAAAACATGCTTTTTACAATCGTACTTATCTACCTAAAGTCCAATATTAATAGTGCAATGTCTTAGATTTGTAATTAAGTCATGGCAAAATGCAAATAGTTCAGATTCTATTGAGATGCGATTATTACATAAACATAGTAGAATTGGTCAACTATTTATTTAGACGTTATTTCTTTGTATAGATTATACCAATTGAAAGTTAGTGATCTTTGATTTATGTACGTGCCCTCATAAGGAGGTTCGTATTACGAACGAATAAGCTAAATCAAGAACTATACTTTGCTAATTGGCTATGGCAGTGTTACCAAAACAAGTATAGTTCTAGATTTAGCTATTTGTATGGGGCCCGTGCTCAGAAAAATCACGACAACAGAAAAAAAATACTCGGATGAAGCTGAAGTATGGCCTGCACCTACAATAAATAAATAAAAATATTTATGGTTACAATTTTGAAACATCTAATATTTATCAAATTATCGTGTGTTATAATTAAAAGACGCATCAAAATTGTAATATCGAATTCCAATTTGGTCATGCCCTTGCCCTTGTCATTAAAAATGTATATAATGTAATGCCATAAATAAAATAACGACATGTAAAGACAAATGATGATTTCACGTTGACATTAATTTTTAATTATTCACATCATAATGTTCTAAACAGAGCATTAACGTACAAATTATGTATAGAATTATCATAAATTATGCATATCACATTAATGATTGCATCACTCAATGTTTACAGACATTATATTTTAATCGATAGTCTTTTGAACTCTATTTTATCAAGAAAGGATGATATCTTTTACGTCTAAAGTGTTTTTATGAAATCTCTCAGCTACATACAATCAAGTTTATGGCATACTTAAAAGATATTCAGTTTTCTTCATAATTTTGCTAACCCTAGCAAATTCTAGGTAAGTAAAAAAAACAACTTTTCAGTTGAGGCAAAAAGAAAAATCCTTGTTAAAGTTAAAGATATTTTAATCAAATATAATATTTATTTCTTTTGTCACATCTAAAAAGTTATTTTTAAACAAACTTTCGTTGATATTGAACAAAAGCTTGTTTAGCTTGTTTTTTATATCCATTTTGAACTAGAGATTTTGTATAGACAATCAAACGAGCCCACACCCACTGTATTAAATGACCAAGTTTCCATTGCATCCATTCAATTCTACCCACCAGAGTTAATAAACATGCTACCAGTGGGGATAAGTCTGCTCTGGACTACTTAATTTCGTCCATTTTCGTATGTTATAAATACTCTATATTATTTGTCAATGATTATGTATGACTCGGCAACCGGCATATTAATCAGTAATCGAAAATATCCGTCTTGTTATTTCTGATATTGTTATAGAAAGTGACTTCATTGTCTAATGAGATAATTTTCCAATAAGACTTCTCTGTGTAAAATAAAGGAAGGGAGAAAAAGGCAGCCATTGCTGAGTGTCTTGCTGGTTCTTCTCAGTACAAGGTCTCCCGCCGTAGTTTTCCGAACCGTTGGCATAATTTTCGACTTTCACGAGTGCTATATAACAGCCTAGACTGAATAAACGACTTTGATTTGATGTATTCGGTATAGTGCCGGTGATAATGATAAATGATATAAATAAAACACTTGAGTCCGTTTACAGTGAAATGTACTTATTAAAATTATAATGAAATTGATAATTACAATGATAATGATTAGTCGCGTGTCGCGGTTGACGTATGATTTTGGACTGAATTATTGACGTCGCTAATGACCTAAAAAGCATAAATGCTTACAACGCCGTTCGGTTGCATTGCACCGAACATGATGTGATATTATCTCGGTCCAAATTCAAGACAAATCAAACGAGCATAAAAAAAGTTTTCAAGAAAGGTTTAAAACAATTAATTCACGTTGTACTTATTGTATCTTATTGTTTAATTACAATTGAGTTATCATGAACGGGAGGTGACGTTTGAGTATATTTCATAAGCTTTCTTACATTTTGTCTTATTTATTGAAATATGAGCTGATAAGAATGAGGCGTTGTCCGCTGCCGCGCCTCCAAATTATCGTCATTTATCATTCTCTGTTCCCTGTAGCTAATCACGTCATTCACTAATAAGACGTACCTAATGTTTCATTAAAATTTACTGTTAATTGTCTAAAATAGCCTCGCAAATAATTATAAGGATATCAGAATATTATATAACATTTCAATTTAATTTAAAATTAATAATTTTAATGATATAAAAAAATGTATATCATCGTATCAGCCATTCGACGCCTACTGCTGGACATAGGATCCCCCATGGATATCCGCGGCGATCGAGACTTTATTTATTTATAGATTATTAATATAATAACAGGTGATCAAAACTAGTGCTTCTGCTTTTTGTTATTGTTGTGCCCAACAGGATCCATAAGTTTCTTCTCATAATTAAACTCATTATTATACAGAAAATGCATAAATATATGAGATATTTTGTAGCCGAAGTTCGAACGGAGAACTTGTACTCGTATTAAAAATAATAATGGTTTGCGAGTAAATAATTTATAAACAGTTTTTCTCCTTTGTATTTATTTATTTATTCCTTTTTCTCAAAAAGGCATTCAAATGCATGTAAATTCAAAAGGCGGTATCTGTAATTTACTACTTTTATTATTTTCTTTTATCAACCCCTATCGTATTGACGACGGCCATATTGATTTCAATATTTCTGTAAGTTTGTAAAGAACTACAATTCACGTAATGACTAACTTCCGCATTTAGGGACATCATTAAGTTTAATGATTGATTAAGGAAAAAACAGCACCTATTTCTTATATTTTCACGTGTACTACCCATAAATGAAACAACTTTTAAACGGTTTCATCGCGTATGTATTTAGTTTTATTAACATTTCATACCCTTTACAGGTTCCGTGTTTACATAAGGTGTTAATTATATTTTTAATTATGAGTATAGCTACTTTCAATATAATATAATAGACACGTTCACAATACCAAAATTCATTTAAAATTTTAATGAAGAAACGATTTATAATATTAAAAATATATTTATATTTCATTTCAACATTGAATGTGACGTCATGCAAGCATTGTATATTTATCTAAATTAAAATTATATCTCGGAAGTGTCGCAAGACGACTGATCAATTTCGTAACTGAATCACCTTCGACAATTTTATCGACACATAGTTATCTAGATAATTTATTGCCTCTAAAACTGTTTGAATTTTCATGAATAACGTATATATTTGATTGATATGCACCATTTAATCGGTGGTGTGGAACATATAGATTTTTTATATATATAGTTTGGACTCTTAGCACATACAATAACTTTTCCTCAACCATTATGAGATATAAGAGACCTTGCGTTTGAACTGAACTAAAGATATTTATCTAACTTAGATTATATAATGTCATCTAATTACGATAACTAATATAGTAAGTACAATTAAAGAAATAATAAAAAAAATCTAGCGAGAAGATTTCATTTGTTTTTATAACATTGTTGTTTTTCTTTACTGATCACACTTTATTTATGATACCTATTTTCTTCATTATCTAGGACCACGAAGCGAATACGCACTACCTAATTTTACTCGAAACGCTTCGTAATTTTTTTTATTTAATAATATTCTTCTTATTTCAAATTATGAATTTTGGATTAGTAAGCATCTTGACTTGCTAACATAATAGTAATGAAGAATGAAATAGTCAAGTACGTAATATATTTAACATTACTTACAGTTCCAATTGTGACAGGAAAAGCACTAGCAAGAATTGTAGCTCGTCTTCCAAATCTATCTGAGATAAATCTGGATGCTAAACTGCCGGTCATGAAGCCAGGTGATCCCATAGCTGCCACCCATGATATTTGCTCCTGGAAACATAATGAAAAAAAAATTACATCAATGAAAACTAATTTGAAAAGAACACAAATATCTTATCGAATTCATTTATTTATTATTCTTATAATATAGAAAAGGCGATATGAAATTTACAGGGTTAGCTAGTGTCAATATAGTTGCGCGTGAATGAAAGAATTTTTAAGATCGATCCAGTAGTTTTGGAGGTTATTTGATGTAAACAAAACAATTTAAAGTTCTCTCTTTATAACATCAGTATAGAATATTTTCTATTTTCCGTGTAACGCAAATTCTATTTGGTAAATTATAGGCATTAAGTAGATTAAAGAAGATGATAACATGAATATTGCATCATTTATCCAACACTATATATACTTAAAATGGGATTGTATGCATTATTGTTACTAAGGCTTATAAACGCATGTGTTAAAATCTGAACTGAACGAGTAATAGAGACAAAATCATGGACCAGAGGCTCTACTACGTAACTAAAGTCATTCACTTTGATAGATCAACCGTCAGCAGACCAATCAGAATTGATCTAGGATTGGACAGACCAATCCTGATTAATCTGGCAGTCTGGCAGATTAATCAGGATTAAGAATAAAGGTGCAGCTTTGAGAATAGGTTTTATGTATTCTATTTAAAATTCAAATGTCATTACAAAAACTTTGAAAAACGTGAACCGCAGTGTCGTATGTTTTGGTTTGTCAGCTAAGTTCCTATGAAATCTTTTTCTTTTAAGATGTAAAGATTAAAACTTTTACCGGACATTATAAGACATTACAAATTATATCATAAATATATATTTGACTACATACATCACTTCTTATCGAATACAAAATCAATAACGGCGGGGCCTTGAACGTGATATGATGACCAAAACATGTCCAACAAATCTTTTGTCTACAATCAAAAAATTATGAGCAGGCAAAATAAGCAAAAAGTATAGATCCAAACATCAGCGACGTTACATTAAAGGAACAAGTTTCTGTAATCAATTTTGAACTTAACTGTCAAGAGATTAAAGACTAAAATCGAGTGGCGAAGTGCTCCCTTTTCTAGTAAAGTGACTTAAAGTGACTTACTGTTGACTGTACAAGTCTGCACCATAATGTCACATGAGTTTCTGTTGTCAGTACATACTAATTGAATAACCACGATGTTGTGTGCGACGCTCAATGTTAATTTATTATCATCCATAGGTCGTTTCTTGAGTCCACTAATTATAAAATAAAAACATCGCACTTGTAAACATAAGAAAGAATTTATTATTTACACACCTTGTGTACATTAGATTAATTTATAATTTGTAATATTTAGCCTTTAAGACTACTTAATAATAATTAATTTAATATTTGTGGCTATAGCCCACACGCGTCTCAAAATTAGAAGTTCGAGAAGACCGCCAAAAACGGCAAAACTTTTTAAATCAATTTTTTGCTATGCAAAGGAATTTGTGTTCATTCTGCATTGAACATAGTCGCGGCCTCTACAAAGGAAATTATACAATTTTAAAGTTTTATAGTAAATTAAAATTATCGTAAATCTGCATACAGTTAAGTAAAAAAAAATATAGACATACATATAATATAAAAACTACAATTCAAGGCAATTTAAAGAATACCCAATACATTATTATCTTCTATTGGTAGAATACAAACTTTTGATATACTTGTTCTTGTTACAAAACCTTTTTGGTTTTTAATATCTAAAGCCCTCACCTTTCCATCCTCTCCAGGGTACACTTTTATCACTCTGGCCATGGGCCATGCTAGAGGACTTACATTATCGTTTTTAACGATGACTAATGTTCCAACCTGCAAATTAGGTTGAGCTACCTGCCACTTAGGACGATTCTGTAACTGAACTAGATATTGCTTATGCCACTGCTTCCAAAATGACTGTTGAATTTGTACACACTGTTTCCAAAATTTTAATCTATTGGTAGGAACGTTAGTAACATCAGGCTCAGGTAGACATTGGAGAGATGCACCTGTGAGAAAATGACCAGGTGTAAGGTAAGTGAAGTCATTCATATCAGACATTACTAATGGCGTTAACGGCCTAGAATTTAAAATCCCTTCTATTTGAACCATTATAGTATACAATTCCTCATAAGTAAAACATTTGTCACCTACGACACGTTTTAAATGATACTTTACACTTTTAATTCCTGCTTCCCAGATTCCCGCAAAATTCGGTGAATATGCAGGTACAAACTTAAATTGAACGCCAAGCGATGACGTATAATTTTGAACACATGTTTGATGCTCAACAGAATTTTTTAACTTATACAGATCATTTAATTGGTTGTTTGCCCCATGGAAAGTCGCAGCATTATCAGAATATATTATAGAAGGCATGTTGCGTCTAGATATAAATCTTTTTAAGGCAGCTAGAAATGCTTCTGTGGTCATGTCAGATACAAGTTCAACATGGACAGCCTCAGTCGAAAAGCATATAAATAATACAATATAACCTTTTGAAATTAAAACCTTTCTTGCACGTGACTGCTTTATTTGAAATGGGCCCCCATAATCGACACCAACTATTTCAAATGGACGGGTTGCTGTGACTCTCTGTTGTGGCAAAGAACCCATCAACTGTGAAGCTTGTTTAGCCTTAAGTCTAAAACATACAACACACTTATGTATTACAGATTTAATTTCTCTTAAACCATTGATCAGCCAATACTTTTGGTTTAAATAACTTAATATAAGTTTAGGCCCTGCATGTAACAGCTTAACATGGGCATCATAAATTATTAATTTCGTTATATATGACCCTTTCGGTAATATCATTGGATGCCTTTGAGAATAGGGTATAGATGCATTTTCTAATCTACCACCAACACGAAGTATTTTCCTTTCATCTAGAAATGGATTAAATTGTAACAAATTACCTTTTACTGGCTGATCCTTTACTAATCTATGAATTTCATTATTAAAATATTGCCTTTGTTCACATTTAACAATTACTAAAGAAGCATCATTAATTTCCTTGGCATTTATTACACCATTGTGTCTTTCATTTTTAGGCAATTTACAATTTTTATAAAATCTATATACATATGCAACTACTCTTTGGAGTTTTAAAAAAGATGAATATCTATACAATAAATTTTTTATGAAATTTTTATCATATGAATCAATTGTAAACAAACATACATTTTTAATTTCAGGTAATTTTTCAACTAATTTGACAAAGTCATTAGAATGTTCATAATCTTTATCATGCATAATTTGTGGTCCATGCCACCAGAGAATATTTTCTTTCAACATATCAGGATCTAATCCCCTAGAAATACAATCTGCTGGATTAGATTGTGTATTAATATAATGCCAAGAATAGTTTTTACATGAATCTCTTATAGATTTGACTCTATTAGCCACATATACAGATAACCGTACAGGTTCTATTTTCAACCAAGACAATACTATTTGTGAATCTGAATACAAGTAAACATTCATAACTTTCTTATCAAATTTTAAACATATACATTTATAAACCTTTTTTATTAAAATAGAGAGCAAGAGTGCACTATTAAGCTCAAGCCTAGGTGTTGAAAGTTGTGTGCCAATGGGACTGACTCGAGAATTTGAACATAACAAGTTCATACAAACAGTACCATCTTCTTTTACAATTCTTATATATATACAACATCCATATGCATTATTTGATGCATCAGCAAACCCTACTATTTCAATCTTAACAAACTTAGAAACACTAATGTTTCTTGGAATAGAAATATATGACATGTTAATTAAACCTAAAGAATTTTTTTTCCATTTATGATTTAAATCAAAGGAAAGTGGAACATCCCAATTAATATTAGCCTTCCAAAGCTCTTGCAAAAATAATTTTGCTTTAATTAATATAGGACCCAGTATTCCCAAAGGGTCAAAAAACTTACTAATAAAACTTAAAATCTCTCTCTTAGTATAAACTTCCAAAAACTTTTGTTTTGGACAAGTAATATCAATATTGTCTGTTTTAATATTGTAATGTAAGCCTAACGTTTTAACAGACATATCATCAAATGCTAAATCAATATTTTCTAGCTGCTGCCTTTCAGCAGGGATATCAGCCAGCACTTGCGGTGCATTCGAACACCATTTATGTAATTCAAAACCTCCTAATCTTAATAAATCTATTAGTTCATATTTTAATTGACTCAATTCATCAACATCATTAGAAGTAAAATTTACATCATCAACATACGTGTTATTTTTGAGTGCAGATGCTGCTAATTTATATTTATCACTAAATCGGTTAGCTAACTCTAAAAGACATCGAGTTGCTAAATAAGAAGAAGTTTTTAAACCATATGTAACAGTTTGAAGCTGAAGGCATTTAACAGGATCATTAGGCGACTCTCGCCATAAAATATTTTGAAATTTGCAATCTTTTTCATTTAAATTCACATTCCTAAACATTTGTTTTATATCACTTATAAGAATGTATTTACCTAACCTAAACTGTATCAATATATCAAATAAATCACTCTGTACTATGGGACCATTGAGTAACATATCATTTAATGAAATTTTGTTTTTTGTCAGCATGCTACCATCAAACACTACCCTTAATTTAGTAGTTTTGGAATTTTCATTAAAAACTGGATGGTGCGGTAGAAAATAAACATCACCCTTTTTAAGGTCATATTCAGATATATTAATTACTTTTGCATGCCCCTGCTTAATATAATCATTTATAAATAATTTGTATTTTTCAAACAAAACTGGATCTTTAGAAAACCTTTTTTCTAAATTATAAAATCTTTGCAATGCACAAGATAAAGAATCACCTAAATTAATCTCCTCTGCAGGCAATTTAAATGGCAAGGAGACTTCAAATTTATTATTATTTAATTTACAAGTTTCATTAAAATATTTCTCCGCCAATTCCTGTTCAGAAGTTGATTCAAAAAAGGTTTCATTGACATTTTCGCATTGCCAAAATTGTTTTAACTGTTGATGAATAGAGTCTTTACAGTAACCACATGGCTCTTTCTTTTCAGTAATATTAGACTTAAAATTTAAATTAACAAAATTACAATAAAATTCATCTTGCCTCTGTGTCTTACCCACAACAGCTCCTCCCACTACATAACCTAATTTGGTATTTATTAGGTATGGGCCGCTAGGTGACAGCGGTATGCGCTCCCTCAGCAACACCTTAAAAAATACATCACAAGCTAAAAGCATTTGTACCTGTGCTGGTGAATGAAAACTTGTATCAGCAAGTTGCACATAAGGTGGAATATTCATGAGGGATATATCTATGTTGTGATGAGGCAAGGTGCATGAAATCTTCTCCACAACAGAGCAAGTGACAGGCAAAGCAAAGTTAGACTTGGTGCAAGCATGTATTTTAAAGTGAGCGAGTGCATTTAAATTATTTGTGCCTTCACAAACACCCACTACTGTATGCGACTCAAAAGTAGTCAAGCATTTTATTTGGTTAGCCACTTCTTTAGTGACCATAGAAACCTCACTTCCAGAATCTAAGACTGCCCGCACAAACATAAAAGAACCATCCTGTTTACACAATTTTATTATAGCAGTTGGTAAGAGAACACTTTTATTTTTAATACTATTGAAAAGTGATACCTTTTTATTTTCAGCAGTTTCAGGATATTGAGCTGTTGAATTAATTTTATCAATATGCAACAAAGTATTATGATCACCCTTGCATTTAGCACAACGAAAGCCAAAATAGCATTTTTTTGTATGGTTATTTAAACACAGTTTACACCTATTTGTTCTTTCTATGAACTGTATTCTCTGTTTGACAGAGCTAGTTTTAAATTTCCCACAATTATAAATTTTATGAGAATCTGACTGACAATACTCACATGATGATTTGTTTGTAAGCAAGCTTACATGTTGAGGTCTGCTAGCTGTAGCTCCAGACATCCTTTCTTGCCCTGTAGTGACCTCTAAAGCAATAGCCTTATTTTCTAAAAATAATATTAAATCAGATAATTTATATGGCTTATCCCTATTTATCTGTTCCATATAAAAAGATCGTACTGTGTACTGGTCTATTTTTTTTGTTAATATACATATTAAAACCATGTCCCAACTGGAAACAGGCTGGTCTAAACTCTCTAGTGCACTCAAATTCTGTTTGACATCAGCAATTAAGTTTCTTAACGCTAGAGCTGTACATTTTGTAATTGACACTATATCTAATAATTTATTTACATGATCAATAACAATTTTATTTTTATTGTCATATCGTTCTACAATCAGGTTCAATGACCTTTCATAATTCTCATCTAAGAGCGGTAAATTTTTAATAATATCTAGAGGCTCACCTCTGAGAAAACTACGTAAGTAATACAACTTTTGTGTATTATTTAGACTTGCATTTTTGTCGATAAGCGACCTAAATAAATTTAAAAACGGATAAAATTCTTCACTTTTACCTGTGAAGGTTTGAATTTCAATTTTAGGTAAATTGACGTGGTGCTCGTTGCTTACTGATGGTGATGATGACAATGCAGACTGATTACTATTTAACGTTGTTAACGCAGATTGCAAGTTAGACAATGCAAGTAAATATTTGTCTTCATAATCATCGAAATCTGCATCGCCTCGTTTTTGAGATAACGTTTTAAAATGGTTATCAGTATATTTTTCGAACGTATTTTTTAAGTAACTAATTTTTATTTCTAATAAACTGGATGTTACCTTTTCTCCAATGTTAGATGCAAAATTATAAATTTTAGTTATCGAAGCCTTTAGTTGACTTCGAGCAGCCACCAATTCCTCTATGTTATCCATTCTTAAAACTATATACAACTACACAAATCCAATATTTATACAAATTTAAGAGTTTCTACAAAATAAATTTTCACAAAAATGGCTTCTTTTTGTTAGTCACACAACACAGCACAGAAAAATGGCGCGACGACGCTACACCGGCTTGACGTTCTGTTCCGGACGAGAAGACTTGCGCAGTGCAGGAAACGTTCACAGCGCAAGCGCGAAAACGTGTTTCACCCAATCAGCGCGCACAGCCGCTGACGCACTTTGTTGTAACAGCCAATAGCCAAGCTCGACGCCGACTAATTTGGAAATAGCTCCCCGCGAACAAACTTTTAAAGGACGCGGCGCCAACTCAAAATGGCGATGATGGAACCAATTTATTTCTTCACTAGTGAAGCAGTATCTTCTTCGTTTTTGCCCAATGATGGACCATTTCTTGCATTCCAAACGAAATACTATTTCTTATGTTCCAAACGAAGGACCATTTCTTATGTTGTGTGCGACGCTCAATGTTAATTTATTATCATCCATAGGTCGTTTCTTGAGTCCACTAATTATAAAATAAAAACATCGCACTTGTAAACATAAGAAAGAATTTATTATTTACACACCTTGTGTACATTATATTAATTTATAATTTGTAATATTTAGCCTTTAAGACTACTTAATAATAATTAATTTAATATTTGTGGCTATAGCCCACACGCGTCTCAAAATTAGAAGTTCGAGAAGACCGCCAAAAACGGCAAAACTTTTTAAATCAATTTTGCTATGCAAAAGAATTTGTGTTCATTCTGCATTGAACACACGATTCAATATCATTGAGTATCTGACCTAGAACATAGATACACAAAACTATACTAGAGATTGTCAAAATGTAATCCGAAGTAACATTAGTATTAAGTAAGTAGCACTCATTTATAATTGAGGCCTACTCACAAGAACTAGCCCAATGACGATCCTTAACCGGACCTAAACCATAACAAACAGAACAAACAGAAATTTTATAAGAAACTAGCTTTACGCCAGCGGCTTCGTCTGCGTGGTCCCCAGGATACTGTTTATTTGGATATCGATTCATAATTTTTAAATTGAAAATTGAACAATAGTTACTATGGTAACGTTTTCATTCCCTATACAAACTTCTAAGTTAAAAACATAGCCTACGTTATACATACAGAGTAACAGATACAAGGACGATTTCCACCTAGACACAAAATTAGACACCAGAGGTACAAAGGAGTGACTGACAAGAATTTCAATTGCGAAGACGGGTTTAAATTTTCAAATAAATAAATCAAAAGTATCGTTTCGCGATCGGTTGCAGTGAGTGTTGTGTGTCGAAAACAGATGAAAGTTAGTGATGACATAGTGAATAGTGGTACGGTTATCGACCGTAAAAGAACTCGAAAGCAGGTAGATCGTTATATCTGCAGATGACACCCATAAACTTCAGTTACTTCGTGACCATGGCGCTTGCAACAGCGTCGAAATATCGGGAACTCATAAAATATAAGGTACATGGTAGCGAACCCGTTTTACAATAATTCTGTTGTTTTCTATTTACCAGAAACTTGTACATAATATATCTGTCACACACATAATCAGCCACAAGATAACAACTGTCTTAAAGTATTGAAAGCAGGAATATAATAGAATTTTTGAAGTCTAAAAAACAAAAGGGGCTATTGTATTCAGATGGCAAATGGCAATCAAAGACCTCTGAGGATACTTAAAAGAAAAGACTTTATAGGTCACAGCGGCTATCTACATATTCACATAATGTAGATTAAAAATCACAGAGCACAGAAAAACTATGTTACTGTACTCTGGAAAATAGAAACATCGCTTAAATCAAAAGTGCATCCAACAAGTTACAGATTATTTGTAAATTTCATAATCAAGATACGTCATCGGAGCAATTCTGGCGATGCGCAAATCTTGTAGTATCGCAAATGCACATTGGATTACATCATAACTACAGGTATGAAATGTAATCTTTGTTCAATTTTACTCATGTTGAATACTATTTTGTTGTTTGTCTTAAAGAAAAATGATCACAATGATATGATAGCAAGAGAGGCAAAAACTCTTACGAATTACTATAAAAAATACTTAGGAAAAACAAATCAATAGTTAAAACGAATGAAAAACAATTTAATAATTTTTGACGTTCTGACAGATGAACATAAGTAAACAGAACACTTAGTTTTAAGTTTGCACATTAATTTAAAAGTATTTATCGACTAAATCAATGATAAAATTTGAACATTATCAATGTTTTTTTTAAAGAATACGTCTATAATATTATTTAACATTTAAACAAAAGCGTCACAAGCAAAATTGTGTCAGTTCTGATAGTTCTTCTTCTCCATGCAGGTACTATGCCAAACTTTTCCGGCCAAGTTTTGTAAAAAGAGGTAAATATTTTACTTCAGTTATTTTATAATGACAAATACTCAATATTATTAACTAGCTTTTGCCCGCGACTTCGTACGCGTGGTAAAGTTACTATTATATCGTATAAAATACCTGAAATAAAGTTTCATCCCCTATTTTATCCCCTTAGGAGTAGAATTTATCAAAATTCTTTCTTAGGGTATGCCAACGTCATAGTAACTTTAAGCATGCAAAGTCTCAGCCCGATCGGTTTAAAATTGACTAAGTTTCATACAAACTTTCATCCCCTATTTTAGCCTCTTGGGGATAGAATTGATCGAAATCCTTTCTTGGCGGATGCCTATGTCTATGACATCTACCTGCATACCAAATTTCAGCGCGATCCGTCCAGTGGTTTAGTCTGTGCATTGATAGATCACTACGTCAGTCAGTCACCTTTGAGTTATATATATTTAGATTATTCGTTAGAAAGTGTTTTTTTAGTTTACTTTTCTCTCATTATAGAACACAACCTTAAATTTTACTCGCACTCCAAAAAAACGTAAATATTATACATATAACTAATTGTTATCAATGAGTCTATTAAAATATTGCCAGTTAATATAATAATTAGATCATTATTGACACCAAAACTACATGCCACCACTAATTAGTTATAAAATAATCGCTTAACAGCCAATAAATTAACATCAAGGAGAGTGAATTGTAAAGTAAACTTAGATATACAAGCCGTTCTATTTTGCAAAGGAAGATAAATGTGTTTATTTTTTATGCAATAGCAAAATATTTTTCACTTTTTTACAACGCATTTTGTTTTTGTTTCTCCATCTCTGAAGACCCAAGTTCGACCCGGGTCGGGTCAACTTTTCTGAATTTTCTCGTGTCCTGGGTGTAATGGTACTGTTGTTATCTCGGATACTCCATAATATTGGGGCTACTTTACATTTCGTGAAATATAAATAATCGAAAATAACTAATGTCTCCACGATATTTTTAGAGTTCACGACCTTCCACAAAAAAGACATAGATAAAAGACGTATGTGTTGTTCTTGATAAGAATATTAAGAATTAAATTATTAAAAATAAAATTGTAAAAATAATGACAGATAAAAAGGTTTGATGCCTGGTGTTTTATACAGTAGGTAACTGTTAATATTCCATTCGCATCAAAATTTTCTAGGTAATATGAACCTACATTTATCAATATTACCGACGTTAAGTAAAATCTTTGAAAAAATAATTCTTGAACAGTTATTGTCTTATTTAAATTTAAATTAAATACTGCATAGTAAACAATATGGTTTCACAAGTGATCACTCTACTATTGATGCTGGTGTAGCACTTTGTAAACATATATTCAAGGCTTAGAAGGGGTCACAGAATGCTCTTAGAGTATATTGTGACTTATCCAAGGCATTTGATTACGTTGAGCATTGAACACTGGTAACAAAGCTAAATTACTATGGTATCAAAGACTCTGCCCTACAACTAATATTTTCATACCTCAGCTCCAGAACTCACCACAAGTAAAAATGGTTCCCCATTGATCTATTCCGGATCCCTTTCTGTTTCTAACATACATAAATGATTTGCCATTCTTTGTTGAAACTTTATGCGATATGGTACTGTTTGCAGATGATACTTCTTTAATATTTAATATCGATAGATGTAAAAATAATTTTGACGATATAAACAATGCTCTCTCACAGATTATGACCTGGTTTACTGTAAATAACCTCCAGTTAAATGTCGCCTAGTAGTCGAAAATAAAATAAAATTTGAATATTATTAAATTGTTATTATCTTATTAAATTGTTATTAGCTTTCCCACAGCGGTTTCGACTGCGTTCTCCCGTATTATACATATAAACCTTCTTCTTGAATCAATTGTAATGAAAACTGAACTGACCTATGAATGAAAAAATGTCTCAGACTACATACAAAAGCATGCGACTTTGTTTTATACTATGAAAAGATACTTAAAGTGTCCTTAATTACAACTATTTGAGATTAAATAAATAAAATTGTCTAACGCCCTGTCTATGCGTGATTGATTTATTTCAAGAATTATATAAAAACATAGCAATCTACACTTCTTTGCTTTGATCAAATCTTTGTAACAAATAAACCACTGTTTTTGCGTCAAATAACCTAATAGTAAAGACGATGGTCCTTATGGAAAATTAAAAAACTGCTACATCTAAATAGTACCACAGACATTATACCTAATTACGCCCTTAGATTATCTACGGATAGTACCTAAGAACAGCGCTTTTCTTTTGACATACAAAATGTTTATTACCATTGCTTGTAAATTTTGTTCAACATTTCATTTAGTCCACTTGGACCCTGGCACCCTGAGATGGGATTCGAACCCACTACCTTTTGCAATCCGGGCGACTGCTCTAACCACTGAGCTACCCAGGACCTAACAGGACTGACGAATCTTTCAACACTTATTACTTGCTCTGTAGTACAGAGCGTATTCTCATCAATGTTCAGGCATCCACCCAAACAGTCGAAAGAAATATTATTACAAATATTGAAACTTTCGATAAAGATAAGAATTTGTTCTAATTATTATATTTGATCAATTACGCATTCACAATGTTATACTGAAAAAAAAATTAATACAAAATGCTTCAAAAATCCACTTGGTCCCTGGCACCCTGAGATGGGATTCGAATCCACGACCTTTCGTAATCCGGGCGACTGCTTGCAGTGTTAACTAAAAA